GATGGCTTTATTGAGCATCAATTATAGGAGAGTGTTCAGGATTGATCAGTTCTGCTGTCGGGTTATTTCAGAGGCTCTGATTGATGCCACACAGGTAGATACTGCTGGAATGGGGGTGTTCTGAGCTCCGCCCCCCTTGGTTACTGTTGCTAGGTTTGGCGTTCATCACATAACTCAAAGCAATGACTGGAGATTCATGCTGGTCTGTAGAGAAGCTCTTAAAGAGACAGCGCACACATTCATTCATTCATTTTCCTTCAGCTTAATCCTTTATAAATCAGGGGTCGCCACAGCGGAATGAACCACCAACTATTCTAGCATATGTTTTACACAGCGGATGCCCTTCCAGCTGCAACCCAGTACTGGGAAACACCCATACACACTCATACACCACGGCCAATTTAGTTGATCAATTCCCCTATAGTGCATCCAACTGCACATAACTCCACACAGAAACACCAACTGACCTAGCCGAGACTCAAACCAGCGACCTTCTTACTGTGAGACGATCGTGCTGCCCACTGCGCCACCGTGAAGCCACTATATTATATTATATATTGTATTGTATTGTATGGTATTATTATATATTGATCAGCTCGTCATCAGTGTTGTTCTCTGAAGATGAAACTGCTCCTGACGCTTCTTGCAGGCTATTTTAGTGTTGTCAAACACAGCCGGAGAATATTAATATTGTAAACAGGAGAACTTTGGGAGATGTTTTACATTTCTGTCTCTGTGGGAGACTCTGCTTCTTCATTTCTGACTGCTGTCTGATTTTCTGATTCTGATGATCATGGACTGTTCTGTGGTTAGTCAGTGGTTTCCATGTGGTTGCTATGGTGTTGCTATTGTAAATGGGTGGTTTTTAATGTGTTCAGAGTGGCTGCCAGGACGTTATTAATGCATTTAAATGTGGTTGCTAAGGTATTCAGAGCGGTTGCTATGCTGTAGTCAGTGGTTGCTAGGGTGGTGAGTGGTTGCCAGGGTGTTGTTATTGTAAATGGTTGGTTTTTATTATGTTCAAAGTGGTCACCAGGACATTTTAATGCATTTAAATAGGGTTGCTAAGGTATTGTGAGTGGTTGCCATGCTGTAGTTGCTTGGGTGGTTGCTTTTTGTGGTGAGTGGTTGCCAGGGTGTTGTTATTGTGAATGATTGGTTTCCAATGTGTTCAGGGTGGTCATCAGGTCATTTTTAATGCATTTAAATGTGGTTGCTAAGGTATTGTGAGTGGTTGCTATACTGTAGTCAGTGGCTGCTAGTGTGCTGAGCTGTTGCCAGGGTGTTGTTATTGTGAATGGGTGGTTTCTAATGTGTTCAGGGTGGTCACCAGGACCTTCTTAATGCATTTAAATGTGGTTGCTAAGGTATTGTGAGTGGTTACCAGGGTGTTGTTATTGTGAATGGGTGGTTTCTAATGTGTTCAGGGTGTTCACCAGGACATTCTTAATGCATTTAAATGTGGTTGCTAAGGTATTGTGAGTGGTTACCAGGGTGTTGTTATTGTGAATGGGTGGTTTCTAATGTGTTCAGGGTGGTCACCAGGACATTCTTATTGCATTTAAATGTGGTTGCTAAGGTATTGTGTGTGGTTGCTATGCTGTAGTCAGTGGTTGCTAGGGTGTTGAGTGGTTGCCAGGGTGTTGTTATTGTGAATGGGTGGTTTCTAATGTGTTCAGGGTGGTCACCAGGACATTCTTAATGCATTTAAATGTGGTTGCTAAGGTATTGTGAGTGGTTGCTATGCTGTAGTCAGTGGTTGCCAGGGTGTTGAGAAGTTGCCAGGGTTTTGCTATAATAAATGGGGTTTTCTCAT